GTCCCACCTATCGCGTAAGTCCGGGGTATGACTGTATTGGTGAAAGAATTTTTGAAATCAGATAAATAGTTTCGGAGATTACCCGCTACATACAAACTTACTTTACTCTTTATAATATTAGTATAGATTTATTAACTTACTCATCATCTTAACATGTTTCTCATATAAATTATAAGTAAGAATCCCAAAGTCATAGCTGTTGTGAAGGCAATAATATTTCCCTTACATAAAATAAATTATTTTCATATGCTTAACTATTAATGTAGAATATTTATATGATAAAACATCAATGAGCAAAATTTCTGGTCCATATGTGAACACCCTGTTAATTTTAAAATGCTTTTTATATGTAATTAAATTTACAGGTTATTTTTTCAAATCCAAGAGTCACTGCTCATAAAGTGTGTTTTCCAAAAATGTTTATTTGTTTATTTTGATTTATATCATATACTTGTTTCTTGACAAGACTATGTCTTGTTTATAAAATCATAGTGCTGACTGAGTTACCAGTTTAGAGGTATGAAGAAGTACATGTCAGGAGTTGCAATTTGGCACAGAGTATTAAGTGCCCAAATCATGCGCACATAAAAAAAACCCAGACTTGTAGGTACTCAGGGGACTGAGAACAGAGTCAAAATAAAATACAAAATGGTAAAACTCTCTACAAACAGGCAGTAGTACAAGATTTGCGCATGTGTTGCTCATTGGGAAGTTCAAAAAGTGAATGTTGCTAAATCGAATTTTGACAAACGAATCTTTGAAAAACCCCATTTACCTGTCCCATGTTATTCCCCACATATCTCTGGTCGTCACATGCTGACCTTGACTGGAGATATCTTGTTTCATCATCAGAACATTTTTGAAACAAGGTGGCGCATCATTATAATTTTATATTTAAACTAACTTCCAGAATATAATTTTTTTTTTTCCTTTTTATATTTATTAAGTTTGTGCAAAATAAATGCATTTTTAAAATCGAAATCGAAAATCTTCGAAGTCAACCACTTTAAACCCCATATCTCCCGCACCCTTATAGCTATCGAGACGCAACCATCACAGTGCACAATGGGAGACTTGGGGCTACTACCACATACAAACACCATTCATGTGCGATGTGTAGTTTTGGCTGAAAAGTGAAATATAGGGACACACACGTCCATTATCTATATATATATATAGATAAATAGGTGTGTTTGTGCCTATATGTCACTCTGCAGCCAAAACTACACATCGCACATGAATGGTGTTTGTATGTGGTAGTAGCCCCAAGTCTCCCATTGTGCACTGTGATGGTTGCGTCTCGATAGCTATAAGGGTGCGGGAGATATGGGGTTTAAAGTGGTTGACTTCGAAGATTTTCGATTTTGATTTTAAAAATGTTCGAATCGTTTTAAGTTCGAATTGGTTTGATTATAGAACGATTGTAAATGTTCCAGAAAATTGATCAAATTGAAAATAGTTCGTTTGACTGGACGTAAAAATTCTCTAATTAGTCTGGAAACGGGGGACCTAATTCTTGCATTCTGTGCTATAAGGGTGTGGGAGATATGGGGTTGAAAGTGGTTGACTTCAAAGATGTGTAACAATGGAAGTGTTAACAGTGGAAGTGTTAACAATGAAAGTGTTGAGTAACAAAGGAAGTGTTAATATAAAGTGGCATGCAATATTTACAGACAGTTTTTTGCGTTTTTGCGAGAAATCAAACATATTTTTAGACTCATATAAAAATTCTCTAATTAGTCTGGAAACGGGGGACCTAATTCTTGCATTCTGTGAAAATGGGCAAGATTGGCTATAATGTAATTATCTTAATCTTCACTATCGTTACTTTTTGCCCACAAATAAAAACCCAGCAAAGCGGGTCCTTGCAGCTAGTATATATAGATAATAAACACACTTACTTTTGCACCTCTAGATAGTCTTGATCTAATGAGAGGTAAGTTTTGTTCTCTTTTCCTTGTCATAATAATATTTCTGTCAGATCGATATCGTGTGTGTCCAGACCTGGTGTTAGATACCATCGTGCATCCGAGTTTTCGATTGAAATCTTCAAAACTGTGTAAATACCTAGAAAAAATGTTTCCACAAACAGATTAATTTTGGAATTACATGAATGAAAAATTTTTTCAAACAGTAATCTACATTTCTATCTGTTTGATTCTATTTAAAATTCATATAGCCTGAAAAGTTCTGCTATATAAAGCATTTGCTTCTAATCTTTACTGTAGAAATTACATTCCTAGAAAACCCCATAGTAATGGAAACTAGTTATTGAAGCATTGAGCCGATAGGAAAAACAGTTTGTTCCCACAAACCTTCATTATACACTTTGGATACTTGTTATAAACTCATTATTATATGTACCATTCTTATAAAGAACTCTTTCCATATTACAGTATATATTTTATAAAGATATTTTATTCTTGTGTTTAACAAAAATTCATGCATAAACATGTGAATACAAACTTTAAAGACAAAATGTAATAAATGGAAATTTCTGGACATGAATCTTACCTTGAATAGTTAATGATGGTGTTAGGGGGTACTGTAATATTTTTTAACTGTCAACCCTGGTTATCCTCCAAAAAATAAGATAGAGATTCTTGTCACTATGCACTAAATGACAGCAAGGTTAGCTTGATATTTTCAACATCAGCCATTTCCTTCTCTGCACTGGTTATTCCTCAACCTATTAAAGGTTGTGGCAATGGTGATTTCTTCCAACTGAATTGGCATTTTTTACCATAATTTCCATCATAATTCTTTTAATAGCTCAGCATATGGAAAAATATGCCCAAATTGGCTTTTAAGTGTGAGGCTGTAATGAATGAACTTTAATTCCTGAATATCCTTGAAAGCCTGGCTGTATAATGAAGCCTCACTTCTGAAATTTTTCTGTGCTAACCAAGAGAATCAGAGAAACTTCCATGCCATTGTCATCATTTTCACTATCTTTATGATTCTCCTTAGCCACATCATCCAACTTCTCATCATAAGCATCTGACTCTTGTGTGTTAAAGCCATTGCAATCAGTTCTTTCTGCTAAGTGCATGGTAGCTTGCATATTGTTTTTTTATTTGTGCACAGACACTTTTAAAGTCTTCAAAATTGGTTACATATTGTGCCCAGCCTTTTCCCAATGATTGTTTACTATAGCCTGAAAAACATTCTCCAGGCTACTTTCAAATAATTACATCAAAGATGGGGACAGGCTTCTAAAAGTCTTATGATTTTGGGGTCGGCATTTACACCCAAATGTTGCCAAGCATTATGTAGAGCTTCCAGGTAAAATTACTTTTGAAAATCTTAACATCTTAGTTGAGTGGCTGGAGTACAGAAGTGGTATATTGGGAAAAGGACTGACACATGTATAGGTATTTTTAAGGTCTTGACAAAGATGTACAGGTGCATTGTTTAATCATTAGAACTCTGAATGCACTCTTTTTTGAAATTTATTGTTTTATTAAAGAGCTGAAGCAGTTGAACTAATCCTAAAAAATCCAGCAATTATACAAGTATTATAGTTCCATTTCCAAATGACTAGAAGATGATTCAATTTTTTTCCTTTTAGGGTATATATATTTTGGATTTCATACACTATCAAATGTTTCCATTTAAAGTTACCTCTAGCATTCATACAGAAAAGCATGATGACAATTTTTAAATGTCTTAAATCCAAAGTGATATTTTTATATGTAAATGTATTTTCCTATTTGTTTGTAAAAGAAACTTGTTTTGGCAATGTTTAATACTTGTTCAGATCAACACTTTCTACTTGATAAATTTAAGCAGGAATTTACAAATTCTTCAACAGCTTCCACATATGCTACACCCATCTAAGTACAAAGTTTTGCAATTTTTACTTTGTATGTATTTTTAAAATAAGCAAGCCAGCCAGCCAGCACTAGCAGAGAATGGATTCACATTTTTCTAGTTTTCAATAACATGGTTGTAATTTTGTTTGACTTTGAGCCTTATACTAGTGCTGTCCAATTTTCCTTGCAGTCAACCATCTCATTTATCCACATACAAGGAGCATTTTCATTTTTTTATGTCACTTCATCACAAACCAATGAAAACACTTTATAACCTTCCCAAGCTGGCACACACACGCATACAGTGAGATTTATATTGTCTTCCTTTCTGTGCACCATGCAGACAGTTGATTGGCTGATTCATTTACACTGAATTGTCTGCTTATGGATGCTACCAAATCCCCAGAATAAAGTTAATTAACTCATCACATTTGTGTTAAGGAATACCTAGTAAAACATTCATTAGCATTATATTTTGCTACCTTTATTGATATTTAATAAATTAATCACTATAACAGTGTAAAACATTTAAAATGTGGAATATTACCAGAATGATATGGAAACTTGTTAACACAACAGAAGCTGTGAGAACAAAACTACTGCTTCTCTTGGTGGAGCTTGTGTTAGCATTGTGCAATAGTTTCAAAATTTTTTGTTACTGCAAATGTTAGCAAATGGGAACTAAGAAACCATGTGTGGCATTTGGGTTACAGTATTATAGAAGCAGATAAGCAAATCTGTGGAAGTAGAATCGGTGGATAATGAGGATTTACTGTTAATACGTATCAAATCTAGATAAATACTTTTTAGAATAACAAGTTCACTAATGTATTATATAAAACTGGTTATCCATAGGATAGATTTTGCTAAGGAATTTGAACATGTTTGGCACTGCAGCTAGAAAAAATGAACATGTAAATTGCATAGTTAGGTGAAAAGTAGATACTTGAGCCAGATGTACTATTTCATTGCACAAATCAAAAACAAATAGATGGTTTGACACCATTTTCTACAAAATGGCCTGGTTTATCTACCATGCTAGTATGTCAACAGACAAATCAACAGAAGTTCACAATTTTCTGGAAAGTTAAAGATGAAAAATGATAAAAAATAATAGAAAACAAAAAAAAAAAGTGATTTTTTCCTACAAAGAAGTATGTTGCTAAGATGACAGCGTCACTGTCATCAATTTTTGATTTATTCTTCTTCCCACCAGATAGTACATGAATGAAGTACAAATCATGTAGTGGATATCAACTATGTGAATTGCATGATGTCACGTGATTATATGTTAGCTTGGTGTGGCAAAAACACTCTTGTGGATATCCAGCTTAACTATATTGTTTTTTATTATAGCATATATAGTATAATATATTATAGTATAATATATACTTTTGATTGCCTATATATATATATATATGGGCAGTTAAAAAGTTTCCAGAATTATAGTAGAGTACTGTAATGGGAGGAGATATGAAAATATTTACCTAATCATCTTCAAAATAAAACCTTTCAGTGCACACACTTGCCCCATTGATCCTGCTATTGTTGAAAGCAATGAAAGTCTTCTTTTGTTATATTCAGGAATTTGGCCATCACAATTGATTTGATGACTTCGATGGTTCTGAAAGTCATCCCCTTGAGACCCATTTTCATTGCAGGGAATAGCCAAAAGTCACTAGGAGCAAGATCTGATGAGTATGGTGGTTGGGCAATGACAGGAAGACTTTTGTCAGCAAGGAATTGCTGTACAACAAGAATGAGTGAGTCAGTGCATTATTGTAATGAAGAAAACCACCCTCCTAACCACTCGTCATGCCATTTCCTCCAAATTGCATTTCACAATCTATGCAAAACGTGCATGTAGAAATGACCAGTAATACACTGAACAGGCAGTACAAACTCACAGTGCACCATATAATCCATGTCAAAAAATGCAATGAGCATCACTCTTTTCTTGAATTTAACAAAGTGCAATTTCTATGGTTGGGAAACAATGCTGTGTGTCACTCCAATTACAGCACATCATCTTCAGATTGTAGGCAAACACTAGTGATGATCTTCATGAGAAATGTTGGGTCCTGCATATTTTTTCAACCAGATTTCCAGCAATCAGCATGTGACATTCCATTGATCTTGGTTAGGTGCTTAGGAATGCACTTTGCTTTGACATGGCTCAATATCAAATCATCCAACGGAACTGCATGAATGTATCTGTAAGAGATGATAACTTCTTGTTTCAACTCCATGATAGTCATTCATGGATCAGAACAAATCAGTTTTCACATTTTGCAATCATTTATTTGGTTCTGGATGTGGACAATCTCTCGCTGCACTTGTCATCCTCCAATGTCTCCTGTTTCTTAAACCATAAAAACTAGTAATAAACTGTGGATTTCTTTAATGCAGTATCACCAAAACTTGCTGCAACAACAACAGCATCTCCAAAGCAAATTTTTGCAATTTGCACACAAACTTGACATTTGCACATTATTCAAACTGCAATATGGCACTGAAAGACAAACACTCATGTTGAAATGAATGAACACTCATGTTGAATGAACAGAATAGTGAACCATCATGCACTGAAACATGCCCAGACCACTTGTTGTTATGAGCAGACATTGTAATCTTTCCTCTATGACAACATGCACACAATTTTCTCTCTTTCACCATCTGGAGGGCAATCTTGGAAACTTTTTGACTGCCTCTGTACTATGTATAGTTCTATACACATTTTCTTCTTAAAATCTTTGATGCTTCTCTTTGTGATAATCATTTTTATTATATCAAAAATTATGTTCTGGTATATAAAGATAACAATATTAGATATTTTAATATAATATACAATTCTATAACTGATTTCATGTAAATTATTTTATGTATTGCTAACAATTATTATTAAAAAAATAACAATAAAACCTCTCTCTTAAATAAAAATAAAAAAAGACAAAATTTTAAAGAATAATGAAAATAAACATACTAGTTAATTTAAATTACAACAAATGTATGCAATAACTTAACCCTTTGATGAGTGGATTTACTGAAGATTCCCTTTCCTCCCTGCATTAGTTAGTTTTTAAAAATTAACAATTAAAAAAAAAAAATTAATATCTAATTCATATTTTTTAATAAACTAGGCAATATTTTCTTTCTTTGATTCAACTGTGTTAAAAAACTGCACTTATTCAGGAGAGAGCAAATATGAATTACTATATAAATGTTTGTCTTTATGCTAGAAAATTTTATATTAAATCTTGCAAAAGTTACAAAAACAAACTTAAAGAATTTTCTAGACCTGTCGACAGATATCTCTGTCTGTAATGTTTCACATTTGCATGTGAAACATATATATACATACAGACATGCATAGATTCTTGAAGTTTACACATACACACAATATATATATATATATTGTGTGTATGTGTGTGTGTTTGCACTTGCATGCATGCATTTACTTTATAGAGCAGCCCACCATGTATACAGAGTATATTTACAGGAGTACTCATCAAAGAGTTAAGTACATAAGAACCAAACAATTACCTTTTGTATGCTTTTTTAATCTGAATTGAGCATGCAGGATTAGTCATTACTAATCCCATTTTAGTATATATGGTCCGCCATTTATTCTGATTTGTCACCTTAAATCAAAAAACAAAATAAGAAAATAAAGAACAAATTATTGTTTAGTACAAAAATATTTAATACATTACCCTATTATATCCACCCATTTGCTGAACAATGTTAAAAAGTTTATATAAATTAAGATCCCTGCCACTAACTGTTGGTGCTCTGTTAATCGGTGTTCCTATAATAAAATTATTGACAATTAATGTTTAATGTAGAAAACCTCTCTCGTTATATCAAATTTATGGCTCACCTCTTTCATCCATGAATTTATACAGCTGTGCGACGAAACGATCTTTTTCTTCACTCGGTTCGTCGTCAGAAGTCTAAGTAAATTTTACAGTGAAATTTTACAATAAAAAAATAAAATAATTCATGAGATGTGCAATACAATTACCTCAATGTCAGAATCCTGGTCATCATTGTCCTCATCATCACGACCCATCATCAGGTCCCAATCCCAGTGCGGCGGAATTTCGTCTTTGCTCAAATACAGATTTGCCTTCTCAACCGCTAAAGAAAAAGTGCAATAAACAAACTAATTCTTAAAAGATTTCACTTCATATTTTCAAACAAAGAAACTTTCATAATATAATTGCTTATTTCCTAACAAATTTTATTAGAAAGGGGTCTTTTTAATATCAAAATACTAAAAAAACAAATTTTTAATTCTGAAATAAATAGTTTGAATATTTAACTGTTTTAATTAATGTAAAAGTTAATTATTTCTGAAGAGAATCAGAGTCAAAGATTTTAATTGCAAAATAACTATTTGATTTATCTTCAAAGAATATTTACTACCCACTTTGTTAATGTTTATGAGAATGATATATGAAGTATATTATGTATTAAAATATTAGAAGAACATATTTTGGAAGGTCCAAGGAAAGTATAAAAATTGTTTGAAAATGAACAGTTAAATCAGTGCAATATAATTAGGTTTCTACTACAGTAGAGTCCCGAAAACACAGCCTAATGTGAACCAAAGGGTGGCCCCGAGTTTGTTAAAATGCTGGGTTATTGGGAATGGGGTTAAAAAAGAATAAGTATGAGCATTTCTTCAGAAAATACTGTATTGTACACATTGTTTGCTTGAAAATACAACAGAGAATAAACTGCGCAAATACCCTTAAACAAAGGAAAAGTATATACCTTATGAAAGCACAGAGCCTTTACTACATGAAAATGAAAATTAATGAATACACAGTGTACAGTAATTTACCTAATAAGACAGACCTCAAAAAAATACTTTATGAGGCATAAAGCTGCCCATAATGAAAATTAACTAGCCGACTTTGCAAAAACTGGCTACTTTTTTTTAAAGAAATGCATAATGTCCCATTGTCTACTGCAATGCACTCTGTGTTTTGCTGCTTCATCACGAAGATGACAAAGGAACAGTAAGTCTATTACCAACGCACCTTGTTGTTCAAAATACTGAAGGGCAGTGTCGACAGCCTTTCTCTCACTATGTGATATTTTAGGAGCTTGTATGGTGAAGTCCTCAATGTCAACGTCTTCATCATTTTCCAGCATTTTTTCATTAACTATGACAGCAGAAATAATTTCTGTATCGGACATAATGTTTTGCTTGATATTGTTCTGGATCTACTGTTCGACATCATTTTCATAAGCCTCTGCACATCCAGAAACTCTTTTCAAGAGGTCGAGTAAGTTTACATCTTCTGCATCATCATGCTCAATGAACTCATTTCCCTCACGATCAAGGAGTTTTCGCCAGGAACAAACTAGTGTTAATGACTAACTCGTTTCAGGCATGCACCACCCAGCCAATAACATCCAATAGGTTAATTTTCTTTAAGTTCTGGATAAGACCTTGACCATCATCGTTTGCAGAAAGAAGAGAGGATAACAGCTTGCTTAGAGTTATCCAGACTGCCGGGTTATCGAGTGCTGAGTTTTCGGGACTTGATAATCCAGCAATCCGGATAATTTTTATATATAACCTGACAAAAGAATTTAATAACAAGACTATAAATATAGTGTACTGCCATCGATATGTATGACAACAGCAATGTATGAATAAATGGCTAACCGTAAACTTGTGGGTTTGTATGTTGAATATATGTCATTTAAAATCATTAAAATTGAAAAATTTGATATTTGGAGATTACAAACTTTCATTTAAATAGTTTTTTTCATATATATATATGAAAAAAAAACTATTATATATATATATTGTTGTTATGA